CTCAATAAACATGTTTCTCACCTCGTTAGCCCAGTCTCCACCTTTTTCAAACTGCTTCCAAGTTGTTTCCAAAAGGCCAGACTCTTTTCTCCGTTCTTAGGAAATCGATAGAAAGTCATGTAAAGCAAAAAAGATAAGCGTTGTATAGATTGAAGAGATTCAAGTAAAAGAAGGATGTTTGATAACATTTGAGCGGGCAAAAATATGTAAAACATAGAGTGAATTTATTATATTTTCTCAATATTTTACGTGAAGTTGATAAGAAAGAAAATACTTTGTTCTTGTATCCCTTTTTATTACTATCTATGTTTTATCATCAGTTTCAATTTTCTCTTTGTTCCGCTTTCTTTTTCTTTAAATTTCACTGTGTTTATGTTCTCTTTGTCTTATTGTCTTTTTTAATTTTTTCTTTGTTCTTTTATCTGTTTAAATTCTCTCTTTTTTCTTTAATCTTATTTTATGTTCTCATTTTTTTCTATCATCTGTTGAAATTTACATTAACATTTAATTGTACATTTTTTCTCTCATCTATATCAAATGCTGTGACAACTCACACAAGCTTGTTATAGATTTTAAAATCAATTACCTTGATGTCCTTGAAAACAGATAAGACAATATGCAACATGCAAATGCCGCTTATCACATTGTATTTTAGACCGCTGTTATGTGTGTTCGTTATCTTTTTGAATTAATGTCAAATATATTTCTTCTTCCAAGAAATGGTCATTGAGTAAAGCCATTAAGACCGCTGTTCCTAAGATTATGTATCCAGCGATTGTACCAGAGAGGACTGTAGAAGTCCATAGAAAATAATTATCTTCACTAAGTCTTATGAGCTATTGACCCATATCATGAGGACTGCAATGATCTACCACATACCAAATAAATGGAATCATGAATTTAAAGTTTCAGATAAATGTATATTTTTCTTGCATATAATACCAACTTGTTACTTTAAATGCTACTTACCATTCTGTTTGCCCCACCTTCTTAAGGTTTGTTTCATCCCTTTCATCACCTGTAATATATTAATGATGTAAAAGGTAAAATATCAACATGATATAAATGTGTAAATATTTTTGTGAACTTCATTCATAACGACATCGCTTATAACGATATACTGTTTATAACGATGCTTCTGCAGCGGTCCCGAGTACCTTCCTAGTATACTTTTTTATTACGGAGAGTACCGTATCTGAACTCACTATGAGTTAGTTTCACTGTACTTTATAACATTCTGGGATAGTTACTGTAACTGTTTGTGTTTCATAATGATAATCATAATTATCTACTTCGAGAAACGATCTACCTTTGTAAGTAGTTTTCATTCACAAGTTACCCGGGCTTAACCATTTGTACTAGGAAAAGCCCTTAAGGAAGACAGTGCATGCAACGTTTTTTATGTTAAGGGTATTTTCACACCATCGACAAACTCTTGTAGAAACGGATCTAGTTCTCTTTCAAAGTAATGTCACGGGACAGAAATATGTCGTCGTTTACAAACTTCTGTCTAAAATGTCTTTGAGGCTGAAACTCAAATTTGTTTTCTTCTTCCGTAACTGTAGGGGAAACATACCGAGCGTCCACGTGCGGCACTTTCAACTTGGATGTTACCATTCGATTTTCTAATTGAAGTACAGTCCGAAACCTCTCTCACCGTCATACATTTGTCGCCGTCAGTGACGCATGTATCGACATTTGTTGGTTCCCTCCACATCATGCGCTTTCAGTCTTACAATCAATATATCCATTGACTAAACCGTTCAAAAACAAGACACAACATTATCTGTTTGTGTATTTTAGACTTTCTAAGTGTATGCCGGGACACATTCAGCACTGGATCGCCGATCCGCACGCCTTTTCATACTATAACATCGTCGTTCTTGTTATGCTTTTATTTCAACGGCCACTAATCAAAAGTACGCAAAATCATATAAACTGATTATTAAAGTAATGTCCTGTAACACAACCGGTAATATTGGCGCAAAATGCAAACATGACTTCATTGTTATGATTCCAATACCTTTATTTGGGTCACACAGGATACGTATATTCTGACATTTATTAAGAATATACCATTCACGTTTCTATTACACAATACAAACAACACTTTTAGTGAGTTTGGTGTAGTGTATTGTGAAGGATGTTATCGACCGGAACTTAAATGAAGTAAAAGAATAAGTAAAGTCCTAGATAAACTGGGACAACCCACACATGGCATGAGTTCTTAAGAATGATATTATAAATTTGTACATTCTTAGATAACTTTTAAACAGAGATTGTATTAAATAATCAATCGTTTTGCTGTAAGAAATGCAACTTTAAATATATCACATACGATAAGGATAACATGGAATTGAATTACTCTTTTAGAGGTCCAATATTTTTGGTTCAAAAATAGACGGAATAATAGCAATTAATTGGCGTATATATCTTAAACTGCTTCATATGTAATTTTGGCATGACAATGCCATGTAATTCTTTATTATAGTTAAATTCAATTTACTTATACTGCTCTTATATCAACTACTTTTCCTGAAATATATTTTTATCAATGTCATTTAAATGTTGTTTATGCAGTTATGACAAAAGATGGTATTTTAATATAAAGTGAAAACCACCGTATCGTATCACAGTTTGCACAAAAATAATGAGGTTTAGAATTACAATTTGTGCAAACTATCTGCAGAGGCCATAAGACAATATCTTTTATTTACCTATAGCACATGTAGACATGGCGTGATGTGAATAATTCAACGGATATCAGAGGGAATTTCCCACGTAAAATAAAAAAGCAGATTGTATTTCAAACCTCGATTTGTAAATATATTTATTGCATATGTAAATGGATGCCAGTGTGCGTAAATGAGACAAAATATGTCTCGCTTGTTTTTTTGTTATTGTTTTTTTTCTCTTTCATTTTCCAACTACTTAATTACATATTAATTCAGTCACTAAAACCTTAAATTTCACGAATTAACCATATCTATAAAAGGGAAGTAACATAATAAAATCATAAAATGGAATACTATACGTGTTTGGATATTTTTTTTGGGACTGTCTACAGACTTTTAGTTGTACTATAGTTGATTAGTTATTTACAATCAATTATTTTGATCTTATCACTTTAATGATATCAAATATTAAAGGATCGCCATTTAAAAACAAAAATTAAGATCAACAAGGCAAAACGGGCCTATATGGAAATTAAAAGGATAAGGGCTGTAAGGGTGAAAGGGGGGGGGGTAAAAATTAGAGAGAGGGGTCAGAGAATGCCTACCGTCAACGACAATCCATCAAGACAGACAACACAAAACATGTAACATTCAATTTGAAAACAAATAACACTACAGACATAAAAAACACATGAAGGAACACTGAAGAGTACCGTCTTGGAACGGTCAGTGGTAGTTAAAGCACTGGGGAGATTGAACCAATAGGTGCAATAACCTTCAAAAGCATAGACTTTTAATTTATTACAAATATCAAAAGTTGTATTTAACGTTAGGATAAAGAAATACATGTATACGCAAAAATTAATAACGAGTTAACTAATAATAATATAAAATTGAAAATCGAATATTTTTTCTCATTATGGGTGCAAAGGTGAAATAACGTAAGGTTAATTAAAAAAAAGTGAATGATCTTAATGATCAAAATTATTGTTCTAGGTTTACAACAATAGAAGATTTAAAGCAAAATATATGTTCCCAGTTCCATCACTTCAAAGTATCTTTAGAGTCAATGGAACTAAGACAAATTAAAATTTCGATAAAAATAAACTTAAACTTTAAATAAAAAAAATAATAAAACAGTTGAAAAAATACATAAATAAAATAAACATGACCTTGAATGGAAAATATACCTTGTATACGTGTCTTTGTGTCCGTTTATAACAAAAAATCCTTTAACTTCTTTATCAAGTAGAAAGCCCAATATTTTTCTTAAATGCTATTAAAATACAGATTTACAATTTCTAATTTCTTAATATAAGTGTACTGATGCATGTAGCCTAGAGCTAACTGATATGTTTTTAGATTTTTAGTTTAAAGTTATTATATGTCCTGTTCAGCTAGACACTTCCGTTTAACATAACATGGACAATTCAAAGACGTTGAACAAGGTAATATATATTGTTTGTCATATATATTTCCTGGTGTTTATCAATGGAATATTTTATATGTTTTCACACAAATTAGAGTATTATCAATACCATGTGATTTCAGTTGGGCGCTATAGAACATGCATTCATTGTCTTGTGGTTGTAGTTAACTTAAGGTAAGAAAGTAAATTAAAGTTTAAAGTTAATTTTAATGGCAAATATTATAAACAACTTAATTGCGGTCTGTAGTTATTTAGAATTTTAATGTCTTTGATATCAATACACGAGTATATGACTGAAATGGTTTTCATAGTCAGTGTAAACATAAACCATGTCTTTCAATAGTTTCATAAATTCGATATAGTCGTACTTTGAGGAAATTCGTTTCAAGAAATAGCTCTTCGCGTTTTTTTCTTACCTATAGTCGTACTTTGAAGGAACACGTTTCAAAAAATAGCTCTTAAGTCGTAAAGTAAGAAATTTACGATCAGGTCTTCAGTTTATAGTATATGTGTAGATTAGCTTTTATGAATAACAAAGTAGGTTACCTGAAGTTACCTACTATTTTTAACGCTTCTTAAATTTATTTCTGTATTGAATTACTTAAAAACAAATACATCGGCTATGCTAGAATAGATGTTTAAAATATATTATTTAACGGGTAGGAACCTGTAAATAGAGGACATATTTTCTTATTTGTATCTGTTTGTGTCTCTTCAAATATAAAAATCAATGACAAGGGCTATTTGCGATTCACGGGCGAATTATGTGTAACGTTTAATAATGTTGTTTGTTTTTCGGCTAAACACATTATAGAGACAAAGATTTTAAGTAATGTTTTTTTTTCTGTTAAAATACAAACACTTTAGGTCTGGATTAGCCAATGGGACGACTTTAAATTTAGCATATCATTTGTTATAAAAGCCATTCATAGATACAATGGGTGATTCATTTTCATGTGTAAGTTGTCATTTTTTCAAACGTTTATTTTCATAGAAGAAAGTATTAAATTTAATATTTATATTTTAAATTACAATATAATATAACGTTTTAAAAAGTAGAATTTTGCTTGAATGAAGAAATCATATTTAAGTTCAAATAAAAATAGCTTTACTGCTTACGATATCATTATAGTTTTAAAATGAGACGATGATGAAATATTTTCATATTTTTTTTCTGGAAAACACAGACAGTGTATGCTCCTCTGTAACTAGAAAGGTGCACGTATGAGCACTAGCCCTCATTAATTCCGCTTCGGAGCTTAGTTTGATAATATAAACAACATTTCCTGGACTGAAATAAACACGCATATGGAGATATTTGATTAAGACTAAGTAACTTGATTTAGCTGGCTATATAATAAAAGACATTTGATACCGGATATTATGAACTTGTTTATTTATTTATTTAGGCTAGTGCGAGTGTGGGTGCGGGTGCAAAGTTGTCTGATAAAAAAGGTCTTGAAGAGGTTTATAAATGGGTAAGATTTATTTCCATTTCCAATAAGGGATATTATATTTAGTGCCATCAAGTTAATATTAGCTATTATATTAATCGTGTTTATCAAATACGCACCTCAAACGTTGCTCCTTTAAAATAAGAAAGGTTTTTGAAATTGTGTAGGCACAATACAAAACAAGACTAGTATGATAGAATTAAATCAAACCAACTCATGCAATACAAGCCATACGAATAGCAAATTTATGTAATTTTCATTCAATTATATACCTATGCTAAAACTTCACGTGTTTAATTGTTGCATGTAGATCAGCTAGTTGCGGGTAGAAACTCTGTGTGCTATTTTTGATAGGATTTGCTTTTGAGTAAGTGTTTCTGTTTCTGGAGACGATTGATGCAAAAGGAATCATAAACAGCTTCATCTATAACAAGACACATAAACATATTTCATTACTCCGGTTTTATGCTAGAGACATTCAAATACAAATGTGATATGGTCTGTTAAACGTGGACAATTTGGGACCATTGCACAAAACAATAAGATAATTTGAATTAACCTATATATACACAGTTTTGTTTTTGTTTGATTTTTATTAACGAACGCCTTGTGGAAAATAATATTTCATTAGTTCTTATTTTTCATGTTTATAAGAGAAACGTGCTTCAGTTTGGAGTTAATGCATAAAGCCATTAATTGGTGTGTTAATAATCAAATTCCGCATTGAATGTAAGATGTTATTTGCAAAAAGTATGCACATTAAACTTGACATTACTTACTAGATGACAGATGCATTTGTCTTGTGATAGACATTTCGTATGCAAATAAAGTGCGTTTCTATTGATGTTGTGATACAATTAAGTCTGAATGTTTTTTTTAAAACAATACAGGTTCCGAAAACACGGACATATACAAATGCAAAACAAGAAGACGTTCATTATTTGATTTTATAAAAAGCATAAAAACACACGAGAGAGTCGATAGTTCAAAGGAATTAAATACAATGTACAAGAATTTTGGAAATTTGTAACGGTGTTACAACATAAATAGATACTAGAACTGTGTCTAAAGGACACGGATGCCCCCACTGATAACATATATATGGTAAATAGTGGAAAAATCAATAAAGGGCCATAATTCTGTTAAATTTGGTCGCAGCAAAAATTCCTTCCTTAACTTCTATTTACACATTAAGGTTGTTCATCCCTTTAAGTTTAGGCAAAATCTGCCATCCGGTTTAAGAGGAGTTGCGTTCACAAAATTTCTATATGGTATATAGTGAAAAAATCAACAAAGGGCCATAATTCTGTTAAATTTGGTCGCAGCGAAAAAAAATCCTTCCTTTACTACCATCTTCACATTAAGGTTGTTCCTCTCTGGATGTTTAAACAAAATCTGCCGTCCGATTTAAGAGGAGTTGCGTTCACACGATTTCGGGATGTACGGACAGGCTATATGCTCCCTACTTTGTGGGGGCATTAAAAATAAAGGTAGTGATAAACCTCTGTTATTTTAGTTTCAGCAAGTCGATGATCACTCAGATGATGAACACATTGTGATACCAAGACAAAAGTTTAACGAATGCTTTGAACTAGTAAAGGTAAAGACAATTTTTGCAAATTAATAAAACTAGGAAAATTTCCATTAAGTCATTATTACAACTACACATTAATAACTATATGTTTTGGCTATTCCCATTTTTCCTGTCAAGGGTATTTGAAAACACAAACTGTGCACAATAATGAGACGACGTGTCGTGCGCTTCAGAAAGATTCATATGTAAAAACTCAAGGTCACACTTGGAGGTCAAAGCTGAACATGATCTGTTATAGGGTATAGTTTGTGTCCGGGCATTGTTCAAAGGTGTTTGAAATGACTTGGTACAAATGTTTACAATAATATGAGACATGTTATACGCATCAATTGGATCCCTACCTTCAATACCAAGGTCACAATTGGGGGTCGATGCTTAACATGATAGGATTTACCTTGCTAAAATAACTTGGTATAAATGCTCACATTTGTCGGACCTTGTATTATGCGCAACACCCGGACCCCTACCTTCAATGTAAATGTCACACTTGAAGGACATACCTTAACATGATTTGTCCAGTCCATATTGTTTCATCGTTCAGGGGATTTTGAAAGTCTTTGTTAAAGGGATTTTAGAATAAATAACCACAAATGTTCACAATAACGGGGCGACATGTCATGCGCAACACTTGGTCCTCTACCTTTAAGGTAAATGTCACACTTAGGGGTCAAATCTTAATATATTCTGTTATAGGGTATATTTTGTGTCCTGTCCATAAATTGCTTGTCAACCAAAAGATTCAAAATGCCTGAAAAAAATGTTGACAATGACAAGACGACATGTCATGAGCAACACTCAGACCCCTACCTTCAAGGTCAAGGTGACAGTAAAAATTCAAAGCTTGTTATGTTGTTTTTTTCTTCTTATCAGAATAATATTTCTTTAAAAATATAAGAGTTTCTAGAAAAAGAAACACAACGTTGTATCTGATTATTGCCCCTGATATTTTTATGTGATAAAACGTAGTTTATTACTAGATTGATTCCAGTTTCTTGTATTGAGTTTGTATTTGTAACATGTTGTTGTTTTGAAATAGTGATACCAACTTAACAGATGAATTTCTAATGACACATACACAGGAGTTATTTCATTTTATTTCTTTAATGAATTAATTGTTGCATCTGCAGATCTAGCATTGATCAAGATTTTGAACCGGAAGACCAAGTCCCTACCTCAAACTTTTGAAATAGCATTTATCTTTGGCAAGAGAAGTTTGTCACTCTGTTACAAATCATTATGCGATTTGTTTTGCTTATTAAGTAAACCTTTTTATGTTTTTTCTTCAAGAATGGGACCTCGCTGGAATAGCTGGAATTAATCATGATAAATTTTAGAATATCTGTCGTATGAAATTTCAGTAATGTCTGTACAATATTAATAAAGTAACGACTGGCGTTATCCATTTAGCCTAAATTATCGTAGTGTCTTAAATTACATATTAATTTAAAAGCAAAAACTAGAGATACTTTGTTGTGGCATTTTTAATTATATTACTATAGAGATCTACAATTACAAGATAAAATTAAAGAAGTATATTTTTAAACGCCCGGGTACCTTGCGCTTTAATTCCAGAATTCCCATCAACTCTCAGTAAAGTTAAATTAAGTGAAAATATGTGAGTACAAAAGATTTGTGGTTTGACTCCGTTGTATCTTGCAACGACGCTACAACCTATCATTATTAAATACCAGTGTCCATATGAAAAGGGTATACTCATCTTAGTTATGATTCAAATACGGTTAAAGGTTATTGGTTATTTTTACCTGACGTATTCCTGTTGTCAAATACAATAATTTAAAAGAATTCTGAAGAATCATTACTTTTATTAGACGTGTAATTGATACTGTTATTCTTCTAAATTGCTTTATGTAAGGCGATGTGACATGCTTTAATATTTTACAATAAAACGAAAATTTTGATCATTATCACATTGAAACTGACGTTAAGGTTTCCGTTTGTTTTATATATTTTACAGTGTTTTTATTGCTTTTATCGTCATTTAATGTTCATTTGATATTCTATTTAAATATCTCCTACGGTAAAGACAAAGTTGGACAATAAAATCTAAGTTTACATAGTGTCCTTAGTCACGCATATTAAAAAATGTGTGCTCGCGTGAGAAATAATGATTTGTTGTTCATTTTAATACCCGGATCCGAATAGAAATTGTTGAAAATTCTGAAATTTTAACTGCCGATCAGGTTTGAAGACAAAAAAATAAAATGATAATAATAATAATAACAAAAGGAAAAAAAATAAAATGTGATATGTAGGAATTCTCCCCATTCTTTAATTATGCCCTTATAGACTAATGGGGTATTTCTCCAGTTACTTTAACCTCCATTCTTATATTTGGACATTTATTCCATTTTCTCAAAAGGTGTGTCCTGCAAATGTAATAATTCCAAAATTCTCTAAATATGTTCCATAAATACGTATAAGTTAATTATAAGTATATGATAATCGACACATGTAGAAATATGTAGAATTCTTTCCACACCGAGTCGTTGTCCCAATTTATAAAATTGGGGTTTAAATCTTACTGGAATTCCAATTGAATAGGTAGTAATAGAAAGAGTTTCGGAAAATTTCGGATTTCAAAATTTATTTTTGATGCTGTTTAGATCATGTCATTGCAGTTTGGATCTAATTTTTTTCAATAACGCCAAATAACTATTACTCAAACCATTTTCAAACCTGTTCTATATCATTAAAATTAATGCAAAATTGCATTATTCCGAGTGCTATATTTTCACCCGCAATAATTAATAGGTCATTGAAATACATCTAATCTTATAACTTAATACTTCATGCGTTAGTTATTTAGCAGTATTGGTAAATGTCCCGTGCATAATTGCAAGGAAGTTATTTAACTTGATGTGACCATTAAACATATCCAAAGTAACAACTCTGCAGGTATGGTTGCAATAAACATTTACCTCTGAGTTGTATTTAATCAGTTTTTTTTCTTCCAGGAGATGCTACATAATGATGAGCACGGAAATGGTATGAAATTATATCAAAATCTAATGTAGATTTAACAGTCGTTGATAGGCTTGTCTTGTTTGTCAAAATTGACATGAGACTTGTTTATTTTCGTTATTTTACGTACTTTGTTATGAGTTACGCTTAAGATTTTAATGATTGTATAGATGTCGATACATTAATCAATAAATATTGCTCGATGGCCTGCTGGTAAAAACGGCGGAATTGTAACCATGCAAGTTCAAATTCCAGACGAATATTATTTGTAGTTTTCATCAACTGATTATTAATGTCTGTTTATTATATGAAACACACGTGTCTTTTAATAGCATTTTACATTCATTTTTTTTATTTCATTAATTTCGTTCAATGAATGACTTGCATGCATATAACATAGTGGTAAAGTTTTGCAAAATATGATAAAAATCATACAAGAAAGCATTTAAAAAATCATTTGATCCGAACCTTCAACTGACACCTTACACTTGATCACTGACACTGACTGAAGCTGGTCAGTCAAGTGGTATGCTGGTTAGTTACACTTTTAGCGTTGTATCATATAGAAAGACACGTATGGTTTACTTCAAAATCCGATAATTAACGACAAAGGGTCATTGAATATTCAAATTCAGGCCAATACACCAAATATAGAAATGAGAACATGTCAAACATTTCAACTTGTTTCACTACCGGTCGGTGTAACATCTATTTTTTACCTATTTTATTCCATTGTATATTTTCTTTACAATACTTGTTATGTAAAAATGATCAAGATACTGATTGGAATTATCAAAATCTTCAATCAGGAAAGTCAACCATCATATATCTAATAAAATATGTCTCAAGAACTTAACAGTTTTTCACAATGTTATCATTATTTTCTAGAACCGTACAATATGTCACAAAGTCCAGTACAGATACTTGTTACTAGAAGCACCACGGCATCCTCGAAGTTTGCGAACACGTTGCGGTATGAGTTAAAAAAACAGGGTCGCATTGATGCTACTGTTATTGAAACATTTGAAGGGACACATCCAACAACAATTTTAATTCTTGTTTGCAACACATTCCTGTCCGGATCCACTCATACCACTGTTGAACAGTGTCTGAAAGACATACCAGGTTATTATGTGTAACAGTTATTCTTTTTAAATTATTTTATTAAATATAGAGTCAAATTAAACTTTGAAGTAAGTAACACTTTATTTATCTACATTATGAAGTTTTAGAACAGACGTCAAGTAAATACTATACATCAAGTTTTTAACCACTGGAATATTGATTCATATTCAGAAATTAATTTTCTAAAGTCAAACATATAACATTTCCTTTTGAAGTTACATAATTGATTCAAGGAATATTTCCTAGAATTCAATATTAAAGGACCATTATGACTCGATGGCAGTTAATATGTTTTCCCTTGGTATTGACATTTTTTCTGGCCTGAGAATTTTATGTTACGAAAAGGGATACAAAGTTGTGTTGTTGTTACATTAAATCTTACTGATAACGCATTTCAGCTAAGTTTTAAATGTAGACTTTCAAATTTAACGCTTTGTTTATTCTATGGCAAAAATTTGCCATGGCAAAATGAAAAAAAATAGAGATTGCAATAAAAACATAACAATAGCACCAATAACATGTCATAGGATAAGTTTAAGAATGTTTTGTGATGTTTTAAAAAAATAATTGCCATGGCAAATTTGCCATGGCAAAAGTAGGAAAAATCTTGCCATGGCAAAATGCCGAAATGCCATGGCAAAACACACTTTGCCATGGCAAATGCAAACTTTCAATGCATTTTTACAAAAAAGTATTAAAGATAGAAACACAAAACATATTAACTTTTAAACTTTTTAGTAAATATGACAATTTAAGATAGTTTTCATTTTTTTAAAGCGCGTAAAAATACGGGTTGAATTTGCCAAAAACTGGCGCTGCAAAAAGAAACCGGCAGCTATTTTAAGAAGATAATACATATCAAAACAAAAAAAAAAAAACAGTTATAATGATGATTATATAAAGATGAAATTTTTAACCATATAAGTATCAATTAAATCGAATTTAAAAAAAAGAAAGTAGAATTTTTATCATTTTTGCCGGTATTGGCACATTATTGAAATTTATTTTAAATTTATTATGGAATTTCCACGAAAAACTAGCAAACAATATATTTCAGAAGATAACTATAAAAACATTATTCTGATTATTCTACACGTTACGAGAGAGGATAAACTTCCAAGACTGTCTTCATGTAGCGAGATTAAAGGGATAGAAAAGTTTAGAAATATTGGAAAGGTGGTAGACATAGGTTTCGACGAAAGTAACATATATCCGTGTGATACGAATACAAAAGCAATTAGACACATTTTGCAGTTCTGTAGGGAATTTCGTCATTCTAACCATAAGGTAAATCAGGCCCAAAGCTTGATTGTTTCTACCTCTAATCGGGATAGAATGCAACCACATGACGTAATGGATTCTGCATCATTTAATGAGACAAAGAATCTCAAAGATTCAATGGTTCCTGCCGCTCCTAACGAGACAAACAATCTCGAAGATTCCATTGTTCCTGCCGCTCCTAAGGTGACAAAGAATAACAAAGATTCTATGATTTCTGCCGCTCCTAAGACGATAAAGAATATCAAAGATTCGATTGTTCTTGCCTCCCATAAGGAGACAAATAATATCAAAGATTCCATGGTTATTGCCGCTCCTAAGGAAGAAAAACATCTCAAAGATTCCATGGTTTCTTCTGCTCCTAAAAAAGCAAGGAATCTCAATGATTCCTTGGTTCCAGCTTCCCCTAAGGAGACAAAGAATCTCAAAGATTCCATGGTTCCTGCCGCTCCTATGGAGACAAATGGAGATCCAATGGATAATGCCTTTGACCAGGGACAAACTTCTGAATTCAAAGTCAAGCAATTTGAAACTGAGCAAAGATGCACCATTGGTCTCGAGAGCAAATATGGTTCGTCATCTTTATTCTTTGTCCATAGTTGTAAATATTGCTTAATTCGATATATTACATTATATTTGATCATTCTATAATATTTGAAATTGATTATTTGTTTCCGTTTTTCTAAAGCACTAACGAATTATTAATTTTGTAGGAGACTCCTACAAAAAGGTTTATTTGATCACCCCGTCTAACTCGAATGCACAGTCAACCTTTGTTGAAATATTTCAAAACAAAATGAAGGATTTGGGAATCGAGATTGATGTAAAGGAGCCCAGAGAAGCTAAAAACCTCGACCATGATCTTTTGTTGATAATAGTTTGCATTGCTACATCCCGCATTGAATCTGACATAAATAGTTGCTGTGATGAAGACTTAAGTATGTTATTCTTAAAATATTTAATGATTTGATGATTTAAAGCTGCATGCCTTCATATGAGCCAAAATATTTCGGAACGTCAAACTTGAGAAACAGGTTCTAAGATTTTAAGACAAGGAAAAGCATTAAAGACTCAAAACAAATTAACACATTGTGTGCTTCATATAACTAGAGTATTTATCACCATATTTCTACTGCATGACTAGCGCTGTAAGGTGAATTTTTACATAATTTTGGTGCGATGTATAGCATGGTAATTCATGTAATGACACACGTTACTCGTCTACAATGATTTTTATTATATCTTATTTTTAAATGAAATTGCAATACACAATCATTATCGAGAGTCATTTATTATTTACTAATTAATGAATTATTTAGTACTATTGATGAAATAACATGCGTATTTTTCATTTTTCGTATTTTCACTCCAAAAATTTATTTTTTCACTTCAATGAAACATATTTTCGTATTTTCACTGGTGTCTAATCGGACTACTTTTTTCTAAATTCTTCGATAACACACAATTTAAAGGGAATTCTTCCTGATCATAAGGTTAAAAAGGCAATTGGTAGATGATAAACATTAAATTCAACTTTTTTCATCAGTACAGGATTTATTTTCATCTTGTTGTATAAAAATGATCATATTCCACTTTTGGCTACTGCCACTCGTGAAATATGTATTTCCATACCGCTCGATGAAAACATATCCTGTATTTATAGAATAAACTTATAGAATCAACTTTTATATTCTGGAACCAATGTTATTTTGTCGTTGATAAAAATTACTTTATATTATGATATAATGTACACGCTTTAACAAACTGCGCGTTAACAAAATAAAAATGTTGCAAAACAAAATATTGTGCTACTTTTTTGCTCGTAATGATTTCTTTACCATTTAGCAATGATTCTTTGCAGTAACAGTTTGATTTAATGAAATAAAAAACAACATTCTCATTCTAAAAAGTATTTTATTTGTATTCTTTTACATACTCCTTAAACAAAAAATCAACTTCATTCACTTTAGATGTTGAAGTACTGCATATGTATCCTAAGGGAGAAATTAATGCAGTTTCGTTTGATTTATTATCTTACAGGAGCCGTTAGCCAAAGAACAATATTGATAGTTTTGCATGTTGTTAGAGAAGGGAAAGAGCCAAAAATACCTACAGAGGCGAAAATAAAAAGCGACAGCATTTTTACAAATTCTCCAAAGTCTAAGATTATCGACATTGCTTTTGATACCAATTCTGGAATGTATGATTGTACAATGAACAACATTGCGGAAGGTTTTTTGTTTAATCTTCATGAAAATATGACTCCCCTTACAAGCTAAAATTATTTGACATACTTTTTTTCAGTTGAACATTTTCCCCTTTTTTTCATCTCTCTCTCTTTCTTTAGTTGTATTATGTTTTAAGCGTTAACATTAGTATTCAGAATATATACAGAAAAACAATTCACAAAAATAAAAGGTTTCTTTGCAGAAGGACAAACAAATGTATGTTTGTGCGTTATTTGCATTTCTGTCAATGGCAACTGTTTTGTTGTGATCACAATTGATCAAACTTGCTATCTAGATAGTAGAAGGTTATAAAATGTGATTTAAAAATATTCCATGAATCTTGCCGCACCTAAGGAAACAAAGACTCTCGGAGATTCCCTGGTTCCTGGGAAAAAGAGTTATTGACATAAATTCTATGATAGTGTATTAATTTTTTTTTCTCTCTATTGTTGTCGAAGTTGGTCTTTTCCTTTTCCTTTTGTTTTCAATGCTGTACATCGATATTAATGCCTTTATACACTTTTGTATTTTTAAGGACGTTGCAAACGAATCTTTTGTATAAGTGTATCAACACCATAAGTACCTTTATTATCAATATGTTATTTAACACTTGTTATGTTTAACTTATTCATTCTTCTAATAAGATACAAAATTATATTTATTCAATATGTAATAAAAAAAAAAACAATCGTAAGATGGTAAAAAACTCGTTTAACTATTTGGGAATATATCATGGAAAGTGTCATAAATCTCAAATAGTATTAAGACATAAAGATTCATTTTTGTGTGTCAATGTAAATAAATACGACTCTATACGATAATACATGTTCAATTTCCTAATAGCCATATAGAAAAAACATAAACAGATTGTGGATAAAAGCGTGTGCGACTGTATGCCTTTACTTTTCTACGAAATTGAAATAATTTAAGTCCAAGATACAAATATTTATTGAAACGGTCGTAGCTTAGTCGTTATTTGGTTACAAGTCATAGGATACACTTACGACTTTCTATGTGTAGCTTTAGATCAGATACAGGCAAGTGTATCATTCAATTAGTCGCCAAAGATTTTGATGTACGTCTTTTTCCTAATAAAATAATTTTATTAGATGTTATGTCTTGGGCTATAAGAAATGAATGATGATACTTTGTTTGTTTGGGCAGATTTAAAGATTGTCGCTCGTAGAATCTGAAATAAATCTGCAAAGAGGCGGTTTATGCTTAAGAAATTATGAGCAATAGTATAAGCGTAGACTAGAAAAAGCAACGGGCACAGGACTGGTAGATAATAGATGGCCATCAATACCATATTGGTGCCTTTTGTGTCAGACCCTATCAAACATATTCAAGGAATTTACAATGTCTATTATTCACAGGTATGTTTAACTGTCCATTTTAAATGTATGTATTGGCATTACAACTGCATATATCCGTAAATTAGGGAAATATTTTTAAACCACAGATCTATAAAAAAAGAATGAATTTTGGAGCGCAGACAGACTATCTTGTTTCTTTTAGTAAACTTTGACTGATATTTTCTGGTGTACTTGCTTTATTTGTCATTTTATGTGTATTGTATTTATAATACTTATTTCCTGATCGCATATTGTAAACTTGAAATAGTGAATTACTTCTTGAATTAAAATTTCATAAAGACGAAATTCTTCGTTTATATCACCTAGAATTGTTATGTTTAGACAAGTTTAAAATGGCCCCTTTTTCTAGTTCTTTTTTAACCCAAAGTTTCATTAGTCTTAGTTAGGAGATCAATATTTTGCTTTTAATGTAACAAACATTTTTAACATGTACAAAAAATTTATATCTGACCATTTTGGTTTTTCCAATTTACCCATTTTTTTCAAATTTTTAAAAAACATTTACTACATGTAGGGAAACTGGGAAAACTTTTTTAAAAACTGTTGTAAAAAACCTCATGCATTTTTTTTAGATAAAAACCCTTCTGGAATTTTTTTTTATTGTTTAAAGGGTTGCGGGATTATTTTAATTTAAAAAACAAAATAGCCCTTTTTTCGGGGAAAATTTTCCCTTAGTTAATATTTTAAAAAGGGTGAATTTTTCATTATTTTTAAATTTTTTAAGTCATATTTACCTTTTTAGCCCATAAAAATAAATCTTTTAAAAGGTCTCAAAAATTTTTTGGAGAAAATTTTTCCCAACTTGGAAATTAATTTGATTTTTGGGGAAGCTTGGAATTGATTAATTTATTCTTTGTGGATTTTATTGTGGGAATTTTATTCTAAAAGTGTTCCCTTGGGATTTAACTGGGCTATTCAAAAATGGGAAATTGCATTCCAAAGGATCAGACTAGAACATTTTAATTTTACATTATATTTGGAGCTTTCAGGTATTTTGTAACACATAATTTGTTGTTTTAAATTTTCTTTAATAATTTTTTCTGTAATAAATTGTTTATTGTTACAAGTTTGTTGCTGGCTTTTTCTTTCTCGTTACGCCTGGCTCGTAACAGAAATTGGGGGCTCGTCCGGGATTGAATATTTCTTTTTGGCTACATTATTGGAAATTATTACCGTTTATTTCACATTTTATTATTACCGTATTTACTCATCTGAGTTGATATCATAGTTGTTCTATTAAGTGTACCTTTCATTTTGAAATTTTTGAAACACATCACTTTCTGGTTTAAAACCAGCAGCAAGCAGTCATGTCTTTTTGATTTAGAAAAGTTTGTAGCTGAACCTTCCCAGGAGGTATTAGATTTGGCTAAGAAAACTGATTTGCTTGATCTTGCAAAAAAGTATAAATTTATCAGAAATTAAAAAATCTTTCAATGCGTAAACAAGAAATTAAAAATCTTTTGGTTCATTATTTTTGTGGATGAAGAATATTTTTGGACAAGATGCACTTTCTCACATTGTTGAAAAACACTCTGACATTTCTGAAATAAAATAAAAGAGCTTGAACTTCAATTTAAATTTGAGCTAGAGAAAATGCAGCTAGAAAAAGAAAGGGAAGAAAGACAGTTTAGAAAAAGAAAGGGAAGAAAGACTGTTAGAAAAAAGAAAGGGAAGAAAAAGAAAGAGAAAGACAGTTTTGAAAAAGAAAGGGAAGAGAGAAAATTAGAAAAAAGAAAGGGAAGAGAGAAATTAGAAAAGAAAGGGAAGAGAGAAAATTAGAAAAAGAAAGAGAAGAGAGAGAGAATTTCAGTTAAGAATGAGAGAATTAGAAAATCAAAGAGAGAGCAAATCAGTTTGAACATAGAATAAATTCAAAATTTGATGTCACTAAAAAATATTAGGCTTGTTCCACCTTTCCAAGAAAAAGAAGTTGATAAGTATTTTCTTCATTTGAAAAGGTTGCTGAAAATTTAAAATGGCCAAGAGAGCACTGGACATTACTTTACAGAGCGTCTTAATTGGTAAAGCTCGTGAAATCTATACACAACTTACTGTTGAACAAGCTCTAATTATGATAATGTAAAAAGATTTAATTTTGAAAGGTTTATGAGTTAGTACCAGAGGCCTACAGGCAAAAATTCAGAAATTCTAAGAAAGAAATTGGTCAAACCCATGTCGAATTTGCAAGAGAAAAAGAACAACTTTTTGATCGGTGGTGTCTATCTAAAGAAAATTAATAAAAAATCATGAAAAGCTCAGACAGCTCATGTTGGTTGAAGAGTTTAAACGTTGTATTCACTCTGATGTTAAATCTTTCTTAGATGAAAACAGGTAGAAACTTTAGAAAGAAGCTGCCCGTCTAGCTGATGATTATTCTTTAACCCACAAAGTCTCATTTTTAAATAAAGTGAAGTCCACACCCTCACATTTTAATTCCAAGTTCAGTTCTGGTAATTTACCTGGCTCATCTAGTCAGTCAAATACTCCCAAACCAAAGTCATCTGATGAACATAAAGGTCATAGTCCCTTATCTCGTCCTACATGCAATTATTGCAAGAAAACTGGACATCTTATTTCTGATTGCTTTATCTTGAAAAGGAGGCAAACAGCAACGTGATGAGGCCAAACCCACAGGTCTTACCACTTCAAGGTCTGCAACCTCAGTCTTGTATTGATAACAATGCAATTTTGAAGGTCAAAGAACCCAAGTCTGAATTCTATAATGGAGATTTATGAACCATTCCTTCGGAAGGTTCCGTGTCACTTATCGTGATACTTGCCCACCTACTCCTATTAAGATTTTAAGAGACACAGGAGCTTCTCAATCTCTTATTTTAGCAGATACATTGCCCTTTTCTGTGAAGACTTCTTCTGGATCTAGTGTCCTTATTCAGGGTGTAGAGTGTGGTTTTTCTAATGTCCCTCTCCATAATATTTATTTGTCCTCAGATTTGGTAACTGGGCCGGTGGCTGTAGGTATAAGATCTTTCTTACCCTTTAGAGGTGTTCATTTATTGCTAGGTAATGACTTAGCTGGAGATAAGGTAGTGGTTAATCCACTTGTAACTGAACACTCCTTGTGTGGATCAAATACCTGACCCCATTGAGCAGGAAATTCCTGACCTTTACCCTTCATGTGCAGTTACTCGAGCTATGGCTAAGAAGGCCATTCAAGAAGACAATTTTTGTTCAGATATTGACTTAGCTGATACTTTTATAGGTCAGTCTTTTGATAATGAAATACATTTTTCTCTTACTCCTACTCTGCCAGAAACTAAGACAGATTTTTCAATATCTGATTTTTCTACACCAAGATCTAAAGATCAAGGTCATGATACGCTGTCAAGGTCACAGCTTATCCAGGAACAACAAAATGATCCTGAGATTTCAGTCCTTTATCAAAAGGCTTTTAGTGAAGATGAAGCTTTACAAGTCCCTGTTTGTTATTATGAAAAGAATGGGATTTTAATGAGAAAATGGCGACCGCCCGATGTCCCTGCTGAAGAGGAGTGGACTGTTAATCATCAAATTGTGGTCCCTAAATCATATCGCCAGGAAATATTAAGCTTGGCTCATGAAACACCCATGGCAGGTCATTTAGGTGTTAATAAAACCTACCATAAAATTCTCTGTCATTTTTATTGGCCTGGCCTTAAAGCAGATGTATCTAGGTACTGTAAAATCTTGTCATAACTTGTCAGATGGTTGGAAAAACCTAACCAGACAATACCTAAAGCTCATTTACAGCCTATTCCAGCATTTGATGAACCTTTTAGTAGAGTTATTATTGACTGTGTAGGTCCATTACCAAAAACTAAATCAGGTTCTCAGTACTTATTAACTATTATGTGTGCTTCTACGCGCTTCCCTGAAGCTATTCCTTTAAGAAATATTAAAGCCAAAACTATTGTCAAGGCTCTTGTGAAATTTTTCACATTTGTTGGTTTACCTAAATCAGTACAGTCTGATCAAGGGTCAAATTTTATGTCTGGTATTTTCCAGCAGGTCATGCATGAGTTAGGAATTACTCAATATAGGTCTTCAGCCTATCACCCTGAAAGTCAAGGTGCATTAGAGAGATTTCACCAGACTCTGAAAAATATGATATGGTCATATTGTTTTGACACTGAAAAAGACTGGGATGAAGGCATCCATTTATTGTTATTTGCTGTAAGAGAATCTGTTCAGGAATCTCTTGGCTTCAGCCCTTTTGAATTAGTATTTGGTCACACTGTCCGAGGACCCTTAAAACTTCTAAAAGAGAAATTCCTGTCTGAAGATAACATTTCTTTAAATTTGCTCCAGTATGTATCAGATTTTTCGAAATAGGTTGACTAATGCATGTGAGTTAGCTAGACTTAATTTAAAATCAACACAAAGTAAAATGAAATCAAGGTATGATGAGAATGCTCAGGAAAGAGGTTTTAACCCTGGTGATAGAGTAC